TAAGATTATTTCGACCATATAGTAATTAGTAATAGTAGTAGTATGGAAGAGTCAAAATAGGAAGTTTAAAATATTGTTTTATTTTTCTACTTCATTTATCAATCAAATGTAGTCGTTAATTACATGACAATTTGAACAGTATTCTAGCATAAATTCTAAAAATAAAACATTAAATATACCTTGATGATTAATTCTCAGAAAGAAAGAATAAAAACAAAGTAACATTGTCACATACAACATATTCGTTTTCATCCTGAATGTATTTATTACTTCTACAATTAGTAAGTAAGTAATGCAGAAAACACCAACACCAACAACACGAGAAGTGAATCATAAGCACTATTTAAATTGTGACCTTCATATTGTTATTATTCTATCGCGCAAAAGGTCACATTTTTAATTCGTTAATAATGTAATTTAATTACATTGCGGGGTTGTTGTGAAGACTGTTAAGTTTTATTTGTAACCATGAATCGATCAATGTTAGACCACCATTAGAAACCTGGAAGAAGCACTGGACGGCCGTTTCGTCCTGGTATGGGACTCCTCAGCAGTGCGCATCCACGACTCCGGCTCCTCGCAAGATTCGAACCCAGGACCTTCGGTATTGTGCGTGAACGCCCTAACCGTTAGACCACTGAGCCGGTATCTAACCAGGACGAAACGGCCGTCCAGTGCTTCTTCCAGGTTTCTAATGGTGGTCTAACATTGATCGATTCATGGTTACAAGTAATTTAATTAGTCAGAGACCGTTAAATTATCCAAAGTTTATTCTATTGGAAAGTAACGTTAGGTTTCATGAATAAATAATGATCAATAGTCATGTATAAGTTATGTTTTCGGTAAAAAAAATCAACCATCACAATGATTATGGTTAAATTTTGTAACAAAAATATGACAAGTATACAAAACTATCGACAGTGTACATGAAATTTAATGCAGAAAATTGTTCCCAATATTTAAAACAAAAACAACTCAAGTATTTAATAGTGCAATACACTAGAAAGTATTGGAGACACTTTTTAAAAAAATAAAGTATAATAGTTAGTAGTAATGGAATCTAAATTCAGTTGAATAAATAAATTGTTACACTTAGAAAAGAATAACAATTTAAAGTTTATTAACATAAATGAACAATTTGACATAGTGTGTGCCTTTTTTTGCTGATGTTGTTGTTGGGCTTGTTTAGGTTGTAAAATAGGACATAGGTGAAGCAGAAGACCGCTATATTAACTAAAATAATAATGTAAATATCCTAAATATACTTGCCAAAAACTAAATGCATTTTAAACTTAAACAATACACTATTAAGGTTATCATTAATTGTATCATTGACAACTGGATTGGGTCATGTTGGTAAGTGTAGACTACCTGGTTGGGGTCCACGAGATAATAGTAACCGATGGTTGGAGACCTTGAATGACATGACTCAAAATCGTTTGCAGTAGCACAGGTGCATCCATTCTTTGTCTTCTCTCATGAGTTCACGACTTTTTTTCTCCTTCTAAATTTATCTCACTGAATTATACTACCTGAATAATATCTTCGAACCCTAACCCTCTCCATTACCGCTAAAACTTCCACTATTTCTACCACTATGGAATTTCAACTGACATTTGCGTCTCTGTGTTAATGCGGTATGTCAACCTGAACTGATGTATGTACGTACAAAGTTCTACGTTGTAACTGACTGACTGGCCGTCGACAGATTGTGGAAAGATATATACATTTTCGCTATGACACCTTGAGAGATTACCTACTTTTATCAATCAATTAGCATTTTTACTAAGACTAAAAAATTCATGTTTCTCGAATTTGCGCATTTGATGATTAAGCGATCATGATATATGTATTGGTAGTAAAATATATTATAACACTTAAAGTCTACTACTATACAATCTCCATTCGAAGTCACAGTCCTCAGTATTATATTAAAGGTTAATTATACACTCTATCATAACAAAATATAGAATGACTTATAAAATAACATATTCATAAATGAAGTACCGCTTTTTTCTAACAGTTGCCTATGCAAGATACCGCACATCCGTTGGTCAAACACCATCAGTAACAACCTACAGTGGGAGAGAACAAACTAGTCTACAGATCAATAAGAAATTAGGAAAAAGCAATGGAGGTGGATAGTACATACATTGGGGAAAACACCGAACTGCGTCACAAGACAAGCCCTAACTCGGAATCCTCATGACAAGTGGAAAAATAGGTAAGGCAAAGAACACGTTAGGCCGAGAATTGGGGACACACATGGAAAGAATGAACAGCGATTGGGTAGAATCGGAGAGGAAGGCTCAGAGCAGAGTAGGTTGCAGAATTCTGGTCAGCGACTTATGCTCTATTCAATAGTTCAAACGGATATAAATGTTAGTTACAAGACTTTAAGGTTCTAGGATCGATCTTCGGTCCTTTGTGGTGTTCAACAGCAACCTGAATGAGATCGATCCATCATGAGAACATACAAGAATATCTTTGAGTCTAAGACACCAATGTTTTGTTTTAGGTTACAACTTACAGAACTAATTAACATGCATTTATATCATCACTAGAACAAGATGAATTTACTTATGTTTCACAAAACTTGACAAAAACTAGATCGATTTGCTGCTAGTTTTTGCTGCAAACACTGTATTACTATTAAAATCTAAAATAACTGATGCATACAATTTATTAATAATTTTAGAACTAAATACTAACAGGATATTTTATAGAAAAGCAATATCAGTTGGTCAGTCAGTCAGCAAGAACATGGAACTTTTCACGTAAGTACATCAGTTCAAGTTATCATATCACGATAGAACAGAGATGCAATTGTCGATTCAAATCCCATAGTGGTAGAAGTAGTAGACGTATGAGCAGTAATCCGAAAGATTAGGGTTTGAAGATGTTATCCAAGTAGTATAATCTAGTGAAATAAATTTGAGAAGAGAAGGATGAAGGCCATGAGGAATTCAGATTAGAATTTGGGAGAACACAAGGAGGAGATGCACCTGCACTACTGCAAACGATTTTCAGCAATGTCATTCCAAGTCTCTAACCATCAGTTACTATTATCTTGCGTACCTCAATCAGGTAGATTACGCCTACCAATATGCCTCAGTCCATTTACTAGTGACTTCATGAATTTCTGCCATGTTTTGGTTTGGTCGCCTCTAGCTTTCTTCCAACCTATTCCTACACCACAAAACATCTCATGTCGGGGCAGTCGGTCGTAGGGCATACGTAGAACATGTCCCAACTATCTTAACTGATGAAGATGCAGTACTTCACCAATGGATTTGCCATCTTTACATAGTACTCGTTTCTTAACAACAGCATTACTTACTCCCAGGTCCCAGGATATACGAGCAATGCATCGAAGATACCGATGTTCGAATAAGCAAAGCTAAATTGTATAATTTTAGTCAACATAACGAGAACATTCCGTGTAAAAGCATTCTAATATTATCTATCAGTATACAAACACATTGGAACATGAATAAAAAAAACTGCAATATGTGTTAACTATCATTGCTATTGTCCAAATTAAGCATATCAAAGTATGATTATATCATAAAATTAATTGTAAACTATAAAGATTCCAAAAAAAACGTATGATTGTCATAAACGGTAAATTGTTTGGTTTTTTTTTAGTTAGATCTATTTAATAAAAAGTTCAAACAAATGTATTTATACCAATATAATTTTGATTTGGAACAAAATTTATTTCAAAACAATATTTATTTGTGTTTATATGATATAAACACTGACAATTAATTCCATTGTGAATTGACATGACATATTCAATGAACTTATATTCCTAAGGTAACCAAAATAGTACACTAAAAAAAATCATGATAACTGAGCCTGAGTAACGTATAAATGTCATGTGCAGTGAATAACACTGACGGAGGGACTATGTTTCCTATCAACTTAGAGCTAACATTTGGTCGCTTGAGAAATAAGTTTTATCACAACGGAAAAATTACAATCAGTATACAAATTTAACTGTGATAATCATTATGTCAGAAAATGAAACCCAATTTAATACTGAACTATGATCAAGTATTTCTTTTTCCTTTTTTAAGAAAAAGAAGCAAACATTTCCAATCATGATCGATTAGTCTATAAATAGTACGCACGATCGTAAAATACGTTATCAGAATAAAAATACTACGTTATAAGTATTTATCATCTTGAAATTAAACAATGAAGCTAAAATAAAAATGTAATATTCATTATTACGGTTGTGAAGATTGTTGAGTTCTATTGCGATCATGAATCAATCAATATTAGACCATCATTAGAAACATGCAAGCACTGGACAGCTGTTTTGTCCTATTATGGGACTCATCGGCAATGTGCATCCACAACTCCCACTACTCACAGGAATCGAACCAAGAACCTTCGATCTTGAGCGTGAATACTTAACCTATGGACCACTGAGCCGGCATTCATCGACATTAATGTCTAACTTCATCTCTTGTCTTCAGTGGGAACTGCTTCACACCAGACAAGGTTAAACTCTACTAATTGAGAATTCTTACTAGAACTCGGAAAAACTTGCTCACGAAGCTAGTCGCTACGGAGTACATCATAAGATTGTGGAGATACAAGTAGGAAACGGCCGTCTAGTGCTTCCTGGTTTCCAATGGTGGTCTAACATTGATCGACTTATGATTACTAAAAAATGTAATAATCTACTGTGATGTTTGAGAGCTAGTAATTATTTGCCTATTTCAAATAATATTTGATTATTTCACCAAACTTATTGAATCATTTACAAGCAAATTTAGGTAAGGGAATAAATGAATGAAATTTTTAATAATCATGTTTGATGAACACCTTTACAATAAGACTTCATAATTCCCAAATAAATTGGAAATAAGATTTAAGTAGGAAGTCTATAAAATATGAACGAGTTTAAAATAGGAGTGTATTGATTTTCTGAAGAAACAATCTATTTCAAATGCTAACCAATACAACAAACTGTGTATTTCATTTACCTGATAATCAGTTAATTCTTGCATAGTTGTATTTTGTTGTTCTTTTAATTTATTTAAATCTTCACTGGTCATATGTGAATGATTAGAAGATGAATTGGATTTAGATTTTTCGGCTTCTAATAAACAACTCTATCAATGAGAAATAATAAGAAATAATTAACGATTTATATATATATATATATATATATATATATATATATATATATATATATGTTAACTATAGATAAATAATGTATATGGAGAGAGAAGGACAGACAGACAGTGTGTGTGTATGCATCTTCTCGTGAAATCATGACTAGTGAAAAAGAAAATCTAGGCCCCGAATGACCTGGTACGGTCGAGTGCTTCTCAAATGGCTATGTGTTTATAGTCACTGACAGGGAAGTCTTACTCCCTGCCTTAACGTAAAGCCTTTTTTTAAGCATTTGAGAGGACAAGAAGCAAGTATCCGGTGCTTCAACTGGGTTGGTAGGTATGCAGGATCCACCTAGGGGAGTTGGAAAACCAATGATGCGAATCGACTTCAGGATCCTGAAGAGTATGAACCTGCTGTCGGTCACCTGATATCACAGGAATGCATCTCTTGACATTGCTTAATTGCCTTTTTGATTAGACTTCTGCTTCTGTTCGGGCATTTGGACAGTAAGTATCCCAGTCCAATTACTAATTTACTAACTCATGTGTTCAGATAAATAGATAAGCAATAACAGTAAGTGCTATTTTTAATAACTATCAAATCGATCTTAATGATATTGAAATAACTCAAAAAGTAGTAAACATCAGCTCTGAGATACAAGTAAATCCAACGGACGCGTTCCAAACAGAATGAAACGTAAGCCCTAGATTTCCCTGTTATATACTATTCATTTGTGATTGAATCATACGATTAGGTAATAAAATGATTAGATCCCAATTAATTATAATGATTAGTCCATAAACAACTATTATCATGTTCACCCTAACATAAATATTGACGAAAAACAGTAACAACAAATGTATAGCTCACAAAGTAAGCTATACACAAATTGATATAGCAGCAAGCAATGACTGAATCGATTACACAGAGTACCCACTGATGTATCGAAATTGATCATACACACAATCATGCATCATTTTTAATTTATTTTACGAGTCAAATAAATTCTTATCACTAGTCATTGGTTTTCACTACCCAATGTTCAATGTCAGGTCTTAGCAATAAGCATAAGCTAGTTAAGCATCCATACACATAGCACAAATCTTATCCAGATGGCTCAACACACATAATACCACACACATTACACAGAAAAATTAAAGAAAATCACTTAAGGTATGGTATGTCAGAAACGTGGCTACTCCACAAAACTCAACGAAAACACGTTTTATCAAACCGATCATCACATACAAAGTCAATAGTTAAAATCGGTAAGCAAATAATTTTACACTACATGGAGAACATCTCCAAGACCACAAACAGATTGTTAGGGTTGATGGGAATAAGTGTAACCTACAAGGTGACTGTCAATGCTGTCCAAACCAAAAGACATAACAACTAACAAAGATAAGCCAAAAAATCGTCTACTATATATATATATATATATATATATATATATATATATATATATATATATGCTCACTAGTGACTAGCTTCGTAAGGAATCTTCTCCGAGTTCTAGTGGGAAGACGTGACCAGTGAAGTTCAACCTGTTCGGGTGTAGGCAGTGTCTACCGAAGACTGTGTATGAGGTTGCGCAACTCCGTGAATATGATCAAGTTAGACATTAACACCGTTAGATACCGGCTCAGTGGTCTATCGGTTAGGGCGTTCGCGCACAATACCGAAGGTCCTGGGTTCGAATCCTGCGAGGAGCCGGAGTCGTGGATGCGCACTGCTGAGGAGTTCCATACAAGGACGAAACGGCCGTCCAGTGCTTCCAGGTTTCTAATGGTGGTCTAACATTGATCGATTGATGGTTTCAAAAAAAATATATATATGTCGCTGCAGTCGTAACACAAACACTACATAGAACAAAATGGCTGCCTTCTCTGTCTGAGTCTACATGAACACTGGTCCACTGCTGGCTGCCTCTAACCATAGATAAAGCTTTAAATAACTAATATAAACTCACCAACTCTTTAATATTATTTTCAAACACTGATAATTTTTCGTTAGCAATTTTTTTTTGTTCTGCTAACTGTTTGTTTAATTGATCAATTTGACTTTTTAAACTTAAGGCTAATTCTTCATTTTGTTGTTTTAATAAACTATTCTCATTTTTGCATGTTTCCATTTCACTAAAACAAGAAAATAGGAGAGTAATAAAAAGTATGAATAGATTTTTATTATGAAATGATAAGCGTTCAGAATCATGTATTACTGAACAACAGATATGATGGTGGAAACATTCAGTGGTATTTAATTTATTATGTATAAAAATCAAGGTGTATCATGAACTGACACTGGAAAAAAATCAATAAATAGATAGTATTCTATTCATAATAATATGCATACCAGAAGATACAAAAGATGGCACTTGTGTCCTATGTTCAAAATCACTTGTCCTAATATAATGAACTTCAATAAAATAATACTAAGTAGTGAATACGAAGACCTCGACCTAGATTTGTAGTGAAGGAGAACACAGGTGGGGCAACCGAATTGTATTTAACGAAAATTACAGAGTTACTCAGTAAAATCGGAAAACCATAGCGTAAATTGTTAATTTGCAAAATATCAGTTCATCATATCGAACTGGACTGTTCCTGTTGCAAAACATCAATCCATTGTCACTATTCATGCGTTTCATACAAATTCCATTGTGTTCTAATCTAACTCTTCCTTTCTTGATCTTCCCCCCATCTTCTGCTGCCAGACATTACGTTGACACTCACGTCCTATACTACTTATAAGTAGCTCGCACCACAGCACCACACATTTCGTTCCATTTGGCATTCGTCCACGAGGTGAACCTATAGTCGTGAGGGAACTGATATTGCCTGGCAGATTTGATCTCATATCACCAGTCTGAGAGGTTAACACTGAGCTATTCGGGCACCGACTAACCTTCTGAGCTAAGATTATCAATGAATATGCGAAGCAGCCACTAGTTCAAATGATAAGGCTTAACGTGGACAACTGTAGAAAAGGAATTCAATGAAAATATCCACTATTCCTCACAAGTCATAGTTAGTCAGATTGAAATTGAGATAAGGTAAAAATGAGTAACAAGTAAAGACGCCATATAAATTAACGAGATAAATAGCAAGAGAGTTGCAGTCTAATAACTAAAGTTCGTTCTCAACTATTCGTTGTGTTATATGTTAGGATAGCCAATCGAGAAGAAAGCCACGCACATTGTGGATTGATGAACTATTTGATTAATGTTCATGATGAACTATTTGACCAATGTCCATGATGAACTATATGATTAATGTTCATGATGAATGTTTTGATTCATGTTCAAAATATTTAACGACATTTATATAATTGTATAAATACGCATGTTTGATTGTACATTTTTGATTCTGACAATAAGCGTTCTCCAACGTCTTCCGTCTTCTTATTTTTGAACGGAGGGGTCTAACGTTCGGTGTGTCATTAGTACAGTGGTTTGGCGTTACATCAAGTACAAAACATAAAATTATGTTAGAATAAAAAAGGAATAAATTATTTTTTTATAGTTAATAATTGAACTTAACTAATCTGTAAGAAGATAAGGTGAAAATGAAAAAGAATTTATAGGATGTCATTAATTTAAGAGGAAGAGAGTAAGAAAAGTTAATCATTTAAAAAGGTTATAACAGTGAACATTGATTTAAATTGTGACCTTAATCTAAACATTTAGAACACCTATTTTTCAAATCTATAAATATTGCAAGTACATTGCCTGGTTAAACTTTGCTTAAACACTGAATACTCATGAATACTGTATGTTCTCACAAGCTACTCTATGAAAGAATTACAATTTATTGTTATATCAATTACTGGAAAGCTTAAACGAAGCATTAAATGAAAGATACATAAATGTGGAGAGTATTGACTGTTAAAAACATTTTTAAAATCATCTTTGAATAAGGACACGTTGAATATAAATGTAAAAGACATATTTGTTGTAATATTATACAATTAACGATTAGAATTCTTTTCTGTTTCAAAATTCATATTATCAAACAAACAGATTACCATCATAATTTTTCATTACATAATTATGGAGATAATTGTTTTACACTGGAATTGTAAATCAATCATTGTTAGACCACAATTAGGAACCTGGAAGCACTGGACGGACATTTTGTCCTAGTACATGACTATCTTTAGAAGTGCGCATCCATGACCCCTGATAGCGGGAATCGAAACCATAACCTTCGGACTTGCGTACGTATGCCAAACCTCAAAACCACTTAGTCGGCATTCAACAGTGTTATTGTCTAACTTCGATCAATCCACGGTGTTGTGCAACCTTTAGTAGTTACTGCCTGCACCCAACAGGGTTGAACTTCACTGGTCACGGCTTCACACTAGAACACCGAGATTTTTTTTCATGACCCTAGTCACTAGTGAGCACATATTATTATTTTCATTAAAATACTTTTTATAAAAACTCCGTAAATAAGATCGATAAGGTGAACTATACTTTAAAGAGTTCTTCAATTGACTATTTAATTTTTCAATTTGTTCATTGAATTCCACGGTTAACGATTCAATTGTTTCAGCTTGATTCTTTAAAATACTTTCTGCTTCAGCCTGACGTTCAGCCAACAAATTACGTAACTGTTCACATTCACCTTGAAACGATTCATTTTCATTGTTAGTTGGAGTAATAGATGTTTCAGATACAAGTTCAACAACTTGGAGTGATGGTTTTTCCTACATGTATATATAAATAAGAAACGAGGAAAATATAAGTGCTTTAGAAAAAAAATTAACGAGAAACAAGTTAATTAGAATTAGAATTTGTGTCTACTGATTGATTATTGAAGGAAAAGAAAGAACTTTCATACAATAATATGAAATGTTGAATAGTTGAGTAGTGTACGGAAAAACAACAACAACAACACGAACATCCAATAGACAAAATTATCGGAAGAAAATAATCGATTATAAACTAGTGGGACTTAGAACTTGAAGTGACTTATCTTGAATTATGTAACACAATCGACACTTTTTTACATAACCATATCGAAACCTACAATATTGTCAATATTTATCATCATATTGCTTTCGTACATTAAAGAATATCATGATAAGCTTAAAATGAATCAATGTAACTAGACTTTTCAGTCAATACCTCAAACATTATGAGACTCAACAACATACAAAGATTCAACACACAGACAATACTAACTGATGGTTAGAGACCTAGAACGATATGGTTCAAAATTGTTTGCAATGGCGCAGGTGCATTCACGCTTTGTGTTCTCCCAAATTCTAATCTTCTGAATTCTTCATCATCTCTATCTTTCTCTTTCTAAAGTTATCTCACTGAATTATACTTCTTGAATCATATCTTTGAATCCTAATCTTCTCCATTACCAGTAATACTTCTACTATCTCTACCACTATGGGATTTGCACTGACAGTTGCATTTTTGTGCTACTGTGGCATGCCAACCTGAACTTATGTACGTACATATGAAATTCTAGGATGTAACTGACTGACTGACTGACACACAATTTACAGAACACTCATAAAAAAGGAACAGCACATTAGGTCGTCTACTCCCGCCCATTGTAACGTCTTAAAATAAAATGAAAGTAGGCTAAAGAAATTTGAAGAGTGCATGATAGATAACATACATAGTTTACATAAAATTAATCTATATTTCACCCTTTCTGAAATGAATCGCTGTTGTATACCAAAATTGAAATGGTGAATTATATACGTATGTCGATGAACCTACTGATACTGATATGAATGAAAGCACAACAACATCAATTGTCTTTATAATTAATTGTGTAAACCAAAAAGTATATACAATGAATAGTTTACATTATACATACATACATACATAAAAATCAGTATATGTTAAAATAGGTATTTGTACAAATAAATCGGAAGTAAACAACTTTAGTTTTTTTGTTTTTGTTATTCTAAAAGTATCTCGATCAATATGCATGACACAAAAAGTAAAAAATGAAAAAAGATAGAAGCAAATCAACGAAAAACACAAATTACACATTGAAATTGTTGTTTATTGGTTTTAAGATAGAAACAATTAACAACTAGATTCATGATATTATGTAATGGCAAATGAAGTAATACACATTGAAGAAAAAATAATACTCAATGGTTGATAATGAAGTGAATAGTCAAGTCAAATTACATATTCTAAAAAACAAGATAGCTAGAAAATGTACTTTAATAATGGAGTAAAAGTGAATAAACTTCTCAACACTATAATTTTTTTTTTGACAAGAACAACTTGTTTCTAGCATTGGTTAAGATTGAATATTGACAAACGCCATAAATTTGACATTTTATTAAACTATTTGATACTATCATACTCATCGGAGGAGTAGTTCTTCTAAACTAACTTGACATAAACCTTTGATCAATAAAAGTACTTCTATTTTCAAATTATGAAAAATTACATAAAACCCTTATAACATTCTTTTTTCATCCTCACGATCCTTATTAAATAACCAAAATTAGCATAAATTTATTTTCAGAAGATGCGACAATCCCAATGAAACTAAACAGTCCTCACAATCCTATACTGACAATTAACATGTATTCAACTAGAGACTCGATTCATGAGGAAATTCTCGGAGTTCTCGTGAGAAACAGTGACCAGTGAAGTTCAACCGTGTCCGGTGTGATACAACTATTCATGGATGAAAATGGATAACAGTCACCGAATATTGTAGATTGATTGAAGTTAGACATTAACACTGTTGGATGCCGGTTCGTTGGTTAAGAAGTTAAGCGTTTGTATGCGAGACTCAAGATGCTAGGCTCTTTTCCCGCGTGATATCGTGATCGAGTGTAGGGTTCGTCACTAGGTACGCTTGAAGCTATTACGAGTTCACCTTAGTCGAGAAACGCGAACGAAACAATTACCAGCGTCCAGATAGGCTATCTTGAATCCCAAGCTGAAGATAGAAGGCTTTGTAAGTATAAAAAAGCATATTCTACAAACACCCAGCAATCACAATACAATCTAGCACACAACTATCGTTTATTTATACATCATAGAAACGTCTTTGGGACAGTTATGAAAATAGCACACTAACATACAAAGCAGCCAATCACAGCCATGGATTTTCCTGGTGAGAAATGAAATCTCAAGGTCAACTGATCAACCCATGCTCGCAAACGTGAAATCCAAAATAAGGCATTTATCAAGTGAGTTCTTGGGGATCTAACATCCCCAACATTGAGCATAGCCAATGAGTCTACTGCTAGGACAAAACGACCGTACGGTGCTTTCTAGGTATGAGATGACACTCCAACATTGATCGGTTCATTAGCTTCAATGAAACTCAACAATCTTCACAACCGTATACTGATAATACCAATGCTATTAAGGCATAAGTGTATGTTAGAATAATCGAACACAGTGATCTACATAATTGCTGGTAAACAACACTAAAATTAAACTATTAAACAGTATTGATATTTCTGTAAAACAAAATCTCTAAATGAAAATTGTTTACATTGATAACAAAAAGAAAAGAAAAATTTTAAAAAAAAATCATCTCTTCTTCATTTTTTTTTACTTCACTTACTTGACCTGATGATTGATTTTCACTAGTTTGATTTAAATCTTTTAATTGTTTCTGTGTAAGATCATTTAATTCTGTACGTAATTTATTTAATTCCACTTCCATACGTTCATTAGTTTCACGAGCTGACATTAAAGCTTCTTCCAATTCAAATATTTTTGATTCATCGTCAGCATTCTGCGATTCAATTGTAATTTTATCAATATTTTCTTCTTCTATTCGAAATTGTAAATCTTCAAAATTTCTATTCAAATTTTAATTAATATATATTAAAATTAAAACAATAAAGATTGATAGTTAGTTTTTCTTTTTTTAGATAGCCAACATGTAAAACAAACCAAATAAATATAAACTTTGTGTTTGTGTTATAAACTTTCATGTTAAATATCTCATGCCGATAAAACGTAATTATGATTTTGAACAAAGTTGTGTTTACATTATGCCCCAATATCAACTAGAACAAATGAATCCAAGCATGAATGCTTTATAATAGAGAGAAGTGATAGGTTGGGCGAGTCCAGAGAGATCGCATGCCATCGTGAGCAAGTGAATTACTATTCCGGTCAACTTGATCACTCTTATTTGTATCTAGATCCATTCAGTGTTTCGTTTAAATAATTATCAGTAATAAGTAGTTTGGCAGCTTAATGATTAAGGAGTTTAACTTACAGCCACCATGTTTCAAAAGTTCGAACCCAATTTCATCTACTTTGGTTTCGAGTAACCGAGTAGCGCTCATGAATTATGCTAAAGTAAGTACCTAGAGAGTGAATTAACTATATTCATATCGTTGCATGAATTATATGCACATTCATTCGACCTTTCGTTTCAATCAATCAACAGCAACGTAGAACTTCGTACGTAAGTACATAAGTTCAAGTTGCTATACCACAATAAAACAAAGATGCAATTGTCAATTCAAATCCAATAGTAGTAGAGGTAGTGATAGGAGAGATAAAGGTTCGAAGATATTATTCAAGAAGTATAATTCAGTGAAATAAACATAAAAAGAAAAAGATAAATGTGATGAAGAATTCAGAAGGTTAGGATTTGAGAGAACACTAAAAGAATGAATGAACCTGCGCCATTGCAAACGGTTTTGAGCCATGTCATTCAGTGTCTCTAACCATCGATTACTAACATCTCGCGGACCTCAACCAGGTAGACTACATCTAGCAACACATGACTCAGTCCACTACTCAGTGACTTCATGGATTTCTGCCACGTTTTGGTGAGGCGGCCCCTGACTTTCGTCCAACCTATTCCTACGCCAGAACATAGCCCGACTAGGCAGTCGGTGGTTCCAACCACCTCAATTGATAAACATTCACTACTTCATCTAATGATCTGCCACCCTTACCTGAGACACATTTCCCCTCAACAAGATTGCTTACTCGCTTGTCCCAGGATACACGAGCAATGCTTTGCGTCTTTTGGTGTAAGGCTTTCTATGTATTCTAAGTCTTCTTTTTCTAAATAGTTGGTTGAACGAACATTAGGAAGTGCGTACTTTAGCTTAATCTAATTGTAAAACACATTTCCTACTCAAACACTTACAAAACATTTTCAAATGTTCAAAAAAAAATAGTAAGTAAACTACTTTCAAAGCATATGTCAATACCTATTTATGAAAAAGGAACACACAAAATAATCATGAAAAGTAAGAAATCAGATCATAAATGAATAAATAATTCAGTTATGTTGCATACACAATTTATATGTACATAATGAACCTTAAGGTCTAATTGTACAAGGAATATTAAACTTGTTTACTGAATAAGGTTACATGATATTTTGAACATTTCAAGGACAAAATTAATTAGACATATTGAAGAGAAAGGTAGATTGACAAAAGGTATATATATATGTATATACATTCAAGAAATCAAATAAAGGATACAATTACTATAGATATAAACTTCCGGACAAAACTAATGACCTTAGTCATTGTGCATCCGTTAGCAATGGGAAAAACTTCATAAAGAAGAACTATATATTAGTGAAATTTGATATACTTCACTCAATGATTTCATTTAATGAGTATTTACACTGTGAACTGATTTCAACTAGACAATCACTGGAGAGCTAAGAGATTATATCATTTTGACATAAGGTCAGGTGTGTACATATTCTCACCTTAGTCCTACTTAAAAGAAACTATGTTTTCAGTAACAACTTGGCTGTTTTGAATCTCCTCATTCATGTTTGGGATTGCAACTGACCGGGTTTCTCTGATATATATACATCCAGTCAGTCGATCAGCTAGAACGTAGAACTTCGTACGTACGTACACAATTTCAGGTTGCCATACCACATTAGCACAGAGATGCAACTGTCATTTCAAATCCCAGTGGTAGAAGTAGTAGTGGTAATGGAGAAGATTAGGGTTCGAAGATATGATTCAAGAAGTATAATTCAGTGAGATAACTTTAGAAAGAGAAAGATGGAGATGATGAGGAATTCAGAAGGTTAGAATTTGAGAGAACACAATGAATGGATGCACTTGCGCTACTGCAAACGATTCTGAGCCATGTCATCCAAGGTCTCTAACCATCGGTTACTATCGTCCTGTGTGGATCAGCTCGACATTGTCATCAGAGATGGCCAATCGCTAGCAGTGGAATCCAGGGCGCGAATTTCGTTCTGTTGTAGGGCTTGTCATTATCTCATAGTTTATGTCCATTATGGGACTCATACCCAGTTCCGTTCGCTTCGAACGCCATCGCGCTATCCACTTAGCTACTGAATCCAGATAGATAGGACGAAATGCACACCGTTAACCACTATCCATCTCTGTGAATATAGTTTCTGTTTGAATTTGATAAGATACTATTAATCAGTCGATGGTTGAAAATGGAAGGCTGACATTTAAAGTCTATTTCCTAATATAATAAATATTGAAAATCATAGTCAATCTTCATATTCGCTTGCTTTTTTTACTTCAGCACATTTCTTAATATTAACAAACTTCTCCATTGAAGATGGTTATGACAACATGAGTAGATGTGACTGGTTGAATTAGTACACATTGTTGTTTTTGCTTTTCTATCTTGTTTAGAAATTTGAACATTTGACATAATAACATAATAGTTTTGTTTTAAAATAAAATTGCTTTGATGAAATAAATCACATCACTAACAAAATTGGCAGCATCATCAACAATCAAAGTGGATCCAATGCAGATTTAAGGGTGCGGATTGGCAAAGCAACGGCTGCATTTCTACAATTGAAAAATATCTGGAACTCCAAACAAATATCAATCAACACCAAAATCAGGATTTTCAATACAAATATCAAGACAGTTCTACTGTATGGAGTGGAAACTTGGGGAACTACCAAAGCCATCATCCAGAAGATAAAAGTGTTGATTAACAGTTGTCAACACAAAATACTTCGGATTCGTTGGCCAGACACCATCAGCAACAACCTACTATGGGATAGAACAAACCAGATTCCAGTGGAGGAGGAAATTAGAAAGAAGCGGTGGAAATGGATAGGATACACACTGCGAAAAGCACCTAACTGCGTCACAAGATAAGCCCTCACATGGAACCCTCAAGGCAAAAGGAAAAGAGGAAAGCCAAGGAACACATTACGCCAAGAAATAGAGAAATACATGAGAAGAATGAACAAAAATTGAACAGAACTGGATAGCGAAGCCCAGGACAGAGTTGGTTGGAGAAAACTGGTCGGCGGTAATTGGCGAAAGTAAGTAAGTAAGTAAGTAAGTAAGTAAGTAACAAAATAATTTGCTCACTTTCGTTCTTCCTGCAATTTAATTGTTGTTTGTTCATGTTCATCACGTAAATGCTGAAGAACAGCTTCCATATTTTCTAATTGTCGATTTAATTGTTGTATTACAGCGCGTTGATTCAATGTTTCAGCTTGAACCTTGACAAACAAACAAGCAAACAAACGAAAACTATGATTTATTTATCAAATGATAATATTATTTAATTTGAGAAAATTATCACAGAATAGTAGAGTTAGTTGTTTTTAAAAAAAGAAAATAAAACAACAATCTATGAATGTTTTGTCTATTTTAAAAAATCAATAACAAACATAATGAGTAATTTCTACTTAAACAAAATTTGTAGAAATAAGTACGAGTTTAGAAAAAAAATCAAGAATATTTAAAACAATTGGTTAATTGTTTGTAAACGAAACAATTAACTAACTTGCTACATTATCTAAGATCAGTTTGTTTGCCCAAATTATACAAACAAACCACATACACATTGAATACATTCGTAAAGGCAATTTAACATAGTAATCACAGTCAGTCGCAAAGTTTGTAATTATATTGTTACCTGTGTGTGAGTGCATATATGTATGTATGTATAGGAGAGAGAAAGAAAGTAATAAGATAACACCCTAAAATTCAGAGTGACCAAATTATACGAACATCATTAACTTTCAATCTATGTGAGACAAATGGAAAAAAAAAGCTTGCATCACGTGTAAATCTTTACAATAGTTTTTTGTAAATCATATGTGAAAATTAGTGATATAAGCTTTCTGCTGAAATACAATCGAATATATTGTAGTGAACAAGAACACAGGTGGGGCAACCGAATTGTATTTAACGAAAATTACAGAGTTACTCAGTAAAATTGGAAAACCATATCGTAAATTGTTAATTTCCAAAATATCAATCCATCCTATCGAACTGGACTGTTTCTGTTGCCAAACATCACTCCATTGTCACTATTCATGCGTTTCATACAAATTCCATTGTTTTCTAACTCTTCCTTTCTTGATCTTCCCCCATCTTCTGCTGCCAGACATTACGTTCACACTCACGTCATATACTACTTATAAGTAGCTGACACCACAATATTTTTATTCAGCTGTGATATATGTTGGCTTATTCTTCTTCTTCTTCTTCTGTCGTTATTTTATCACTTTATATATCTTTGTTAAAATTGTCTGCCTCTGCTGTAGCTGCTGCTGTGGTTGGTTGGACTTGCTTATCATCATAAACCAACCAAGCTTTATTGGTTCGAACATATGTTTCTATGGGTTGTGCAGTGCCAGGCAGGTCAACTGAATAACGGTAAGACTAAAAGCGGCTACTCAAGGTGTGAGGGCAAAGTCGTACTGCTGATTGTAGAGGGGTGTGACAGCAGTAAGCTGTTTCCCTTGGACAACCAGCATCTGCAGCGATGCTGCCTTCTCATAAGGAAGCAAGGGTTAGAAAAGGTCGACCCTAAAAATGTCACACCTTACCTTACGGATTTCCGGCTCCAGAGGTAAGGCCACTTAAAGAGCGGATCTAAGACTTCCAAAACATTCTATAAAAAGGCCATGAGCGACCGGCCTCAAACAGTTGTCCCTTGGACTATGCAGTCACGCTCCCAGGTCTCTAAGCCCGACATTAATCCAATTTCCCTTTTCAGGTTGCTCGAAAAACACCCTTCCACGGTGTGGGCAGCCGGGAAGTGACATCCACCCTCATGCTCGTAACAGCTGATTGGAAAATGTCTTCGTTTGTAACAAATTGAATATATAGTTATTAAATAAGTAGAGTAATTATACTTCAATTTAAAGTATATTTAATCTACATAATTTACATCACAGTAGCCTTAAGTGACCGAAAAAAAACTAATAGGACCTTCTGCTTGCATTTAACTGCTGTGGTAAACTGTTTATAAATTCAAAGACACTGGGAGATCTGAATAGCTCTACAACACAAAAGATTAATCTATTTTTAATATATAGAAGGGTTAATTTATGAGATGGAGCCAGTGAGGTGAAAACAATTCTGTGGCATTAGCATATATTAACCTAATATAACTCTACCTAGATGAAATTTGGGAAAAATTCCTCAATTTGACGGATTGAGACGCTATCAAATATGTGCTTTTTTTTAAAACCCTTGATGATCCTACTACAGTTTTCTATTACAACCGGATGAAATTTATAAAACTCTTGTTCGCACATGAATTTAGTCTTTTAACACTAGATTTTATGTTTCATTCTATAATATCGCCATATTTTACAATAACTTCACTTCGTCTTATTTGATTAACTTCGCATATTTTTATCATACTAAGCTTACTGTGTGTTGTAAATCATGAAAACATCAATTCGTCTACTCAGTGCTAATAATAAATTAGCTTAAATGTGAAAATACTCTAATCTTTAATTCAATTCATGATTACAGGGGTTGTACATGCCCACACTATAATGGATAGTCCCATATATAAGAAAGAAAACAATTATCCCGTGTCCTCTGGTTATCAACACTATTTCAGTTGAAATCATTCTATAACAATATACAGCGTATAAATTGAATTAATTTATACAAAATCTCCCTTTAATAGACTAAGTAGCTCCAATCTTGGGTTAAATTCATGACTACAGGCGTTGTACATGCCCACTATAATGGATAGTCCCATATATAAGAAAGAAAACAATTATCCCGTGTCCTCTGATTATCAATATTATTTCAGTTGAAATTAGTCTACAAAATTCCCTTTAATTGACTAAGTAGCTCCATTTATCATATAAATCTTGACTTGAAAGCATCAATAAACATGTTGCATGTGATAGAGAAATAGAGATATAAATAAATAAACCTGCATACAATTGAGAAGTGTACTAAACAAAAAAAATCAACTCTAACAATTGATTTGCATGTATAACTACTGATAATGAGAAAGAACAATGAAATATACAACTGCATGAACTACTAACATTATTCAATATTTGTTTTTATGACTGGACTTCATTAATATAATAAGTTATCTGGTCTACTATTTAAAAATGACCGCTATTCTTTAAAAAAAAAAGGAACAAGTGAATTTTTTTCTTTAATTAATGGATATTTTATGCATTGAAAAAAAAAGTGATGAGTAAATATCTAGTTTAAACTGATGTGCAAAAAAGTTTAGTTTAAAAAAAAATTATTGATTGATTAACCCCTTTTAGTTCTTTTAAGTGTACACATAAATAAATGAAATTTGAAAATTCTAGTATAATAAAGGAAGAGTTAATGATTCAAAAAATAATGATGTAATTACCATATAACTCTTGGTGCGCCGAGAGTAAGGAGAATCCACTTCCTCTCACAATGCTTTAATACGGCCATACGTCTATAGCCACTGACACAGAAGTCCTACTCACTACGTTTTCACGGCGGCGATGCTGCCTGTGAAATTGTGAGAATGAAAAGCGAATGTCTAGAGCCTAAAGCCGGTAGGTGGATATGGAGCAGCCACCTAGGAGAGTTAGAAAGCCCTGAATTCAAATCAAGGGTGTACATGAGCTTCATAATCCTGAGGAAACAAATAGAGAATGTGAACCTATCGTTGATCACCGGCTACCATCTCCTAACGTTGCATCACTGCTTTGTAGATTAGACTTGCAGGTCAAATGCCTGAGGAGTGTTTGGGTATTCAGATAGTATTTCAGCCCATACACAAAAATTCACCAATTTGTATGGCGTATAAATATTAAGATGCCTATTTGTATACCAATAATTGTATTTATAAATAAATAAAATATCTAACAATCGTTCCTCCAACTTTCTATAATTTCTAAACTGTTCCTTTAGTTCGGTTTAAAATTTATCATTCAAATATTCACCTACTAATTTATTTATTTTGAATACTTGGAACAATTAAAACATTCCCTCAAGATTTATATTATTCCTGATTTTGATAAACATCTCATTCACTTAGTCATTAGGATAGTTGAGATAAGTTTTAAGCAACCAACAAAGTCACAGTGTTTAAGAGTATGTACATAGAATTTACAACATGTTGGTGTACATGAACAGATAACAGTTGTATAAATAATTTAGTACGTTCTGAAACTAGTGACAAATATTTTAATGAAAAAAAAGTACATTGTTAGAGATTTTAGTGAACTTCTTAACTATACTGTGTTGTATTCATACATTCATACAAATCAAAGACAGTCAAAACCCGAATAATAAAAATCACTTTCTATTTAAACATACAACTATCGGTATACAAAGAATTCGTGTTGGGCTGAGATACTGTTTGGATGCTCAGACATAAGCAGGCGGTTTTCTCAGGGAGACACTTTTGAGTCTTTAAAATAAGGTCTAATCCATAAAATAGTGGAGTAACGTCAGTAGATGCGGCCCCATGGTAGTCGGTGACCAGAAAGAGGTCCATAACCCATTGGTTCCCTCGAAATCCTGAAGCCTGTGTACACTCTTAGTTTGAAATCAGGGTTTTTCAACTCCCCTAGGTGGATCTTCCATATCCACCAACTCGGTTCAAGCTATGGACAATAACTCTTCATTCTCTCAATTTCATAGACACCACCGCCGCCGTGAAAATGTAGTTAGTGGGACTTCCGTGTTAGTGGCTATTTACGCATGACCGTGATAAAGTATTGCGAGAGAGAGATAAGTCTCCCTACTTTCGGCTAAATCATGGGTCACAAGTGATCAGTTTAAAAGGTAGATTACCCAACGTTACTAGGAAAGAAGCTGTAATCTATTTAATTATTAAAGTAGACAGTGAGTCCAGAGAGCGCTATATGAATAATCAATACGAATTTAAAGATAAAAGATCATTTGATTCCCATTTATTGACTAACTAATATCGTGCTCTTTAAGAACTGACAGTTTTTTATCTGAATTTTTTTAGTAAAATTATAGATGACCATTAATGTATGAGTTTAAACTAAAATGAGAAAGTAATTTATAATTCCTTAATTTTAAATTATTGTTTGGCTTTTTTAACTGATGAAAATTACTCATAAAAATCCGACCTATTCACACTTCAGAATGAAATAGATTAATACCTAGATAAACCGAGCCAATCAAAAGTGACTTAGTGAGAAGCTCATTGGATGACTAACAACGTATGACATAAAAGACGAATACATATCATTGGTTAAAAAATGGTTTTCTAAATAAATACATACATATCTATACACAAATATCTGTCCACATTAATCGATAGTCCTTTTGCTATTTGTCTTCTCGCTTAAACAGTCAGTTTTCAGGAGGATTACAATTTATTGCTTTCAGATCTTGGCACCGCTCATCACAACACTTTTCAAAGGATGAATAATAATATATGGTAGAATATTGCATATTGTATTGAACATAAAATATTAAGCAAAGTTATCAGTCAGGCAGTCAGTCAGTTGCAACGTAGAACTTCGTACGTATGTACATAAGTTCAAGTTGCCATACCACATTAGCACAGAGATGCAATTGTCAAATCAAATCCCATAGTGATAAAGATAGTAGAGGTATTAATGGTAATGAAGAAGACTAGGATTTGAAGATATTATTCAAGAAGTATAATTCAGTGAGATAAGGTTAGAAAGACAAACGTAGAGGTGCTGACGAAGCTGCTACCTTGACGTGGTAGACGGGCTTGCCTTTCGTGATGACCCAACCGAACTATTTTAGCTGGAACATATGTTCCTGAAAGTTCTACAATACCAGGTAGGTCGATTGGAGAACGATCAGACTAAAAGCAGCTACTCAAGGTCTGAGGGCGAAGTCGTACTGCTGACTGCAGAGGGGTGTGACGGCAGTAAGGTGTTTACCTCGGGCAACCAGCATCTGCAGCGATGCTGCCTTCTCACAACGAAGGAAGGGTTAGAAAAGGTCGACCCTAAAAATGTCACACCTCACCCTAACTCACGGGTTTCCGTCTCCGTTGGTAATGGTGCCCACTAAGGGCTTTCAAGAGCGGAGCTAATCCTCAAAAAACCTTTCATAAAAAGGCCTTGCGTGACCGTCCTTAAGCAGTTGTCCCTTGGACTCTGCAGTCACGCTCCCAGGTCGTTAAGACCAACGCTAATCTATCTTCCTTTTCAGGTTCCTCAAGAAACAACCTTCCACGGTGTGGGTAGCCGGGAAGTGACAACCGCCCTCATACCCGTAACAGCACATGAGACCGAATTGGTCGCAATCAAATCCTTCTTACACCCCCTAATATCTCTCTTATCTCTACGACTAACTCTAGTCGCATTCCTTCAGCTCACTGCACCGCAAATGCAAACGATGCAAGTTCACGAAACGTCGTTCCTGGTTTCCTCAAACCCCGTTCTAGACTACATGTTGAAGCAAAGCTATCAGTATCATTATTATTAAATACCCTGAGATTTACAACAAAAAAATGTCATTATAATGCATTAACGTATTGACAGAAATGAAATTTAATTGATTACAAAAATGATTGACATATTTAAGTGGTTCTTTTTTTTACATATTACTATTTGTTAGTTCCTTTAGATAGTTAGTTATAGAGGATTACAAATGAAACAACATGTTGATTAAGTCTACTTTACTCAATTTTAAACCATATATGTTGTATATAATTTGATTTCTCAATTCAATGAAAAGATTAAAATGTGACCTGTACAAATACTAATAGTTTTTTTAATGAAGTTTAATGAATAATTATTCTAATTACTTATGGTGTCTTCTCAACTAATTGATCAAAAATGAAAATGATTTAGATAACGTTACTATTTTATTGAAATCTGGTCGGTTCTAGTGTGTGTGTGTGTGTGTGTGAACTCCACCTGGAGCCCCTCTGGGGCTAATGCCGATCCCAAACCCAGATAATGAGGTAGGAGGTTTGGGCATGTGGTTAGCGATCCCATCCCGTATGTGTGACCATTCATACCAATACTCAAACATGTAGGTAGAGTAATGCAGAGTAATAAAAAACAGCAATAAACTCTGAATTCAGTACATTTGTTGTTAGTGGGACATAGATGGAATTAAAGCATGACTACGTTGCTGCGCGCTGATTGGCTAATTTCCTATCCAATCAGCGCCTGATCGAATCTTGGAGAACAGGGTAGAAGCTTCTCGTATTGTTGGCTGCGTGCTGATTGGTTAAATCTAATCCAGTCGATCACGTGAATTTCTATCCAGAAGCATTCTCATGTAAATGCTATAAATAGACTAACGTTGTACCTATTTTTAGCCTTCGCCTTCGCCATCACCTTTGGCTTCTTATTTCCATTTAACCTTGCTATTTGGAATATAATCTTCCCTGTTCAACCGTGTTTTGATTCTTGGGAACTTGTCCAGTGTATTGTGGTCAGAGAATACTAAGCAATAGGATTTAGCCGGGAATTATCTAAGCAAGCGTTACAACATTTGTTATGAAGAGTAACTCATCAGTATGAACTAGATACATAGAGAGATAGAGAGAGGGAGAGAAGGAAAAACAGTAAAATCAACCAAATTGTACTTACCATTTCTTTTTCTAAAGTAACTTTAGCTAAATCAGAACGTTCCATTTCACGTTCTTGTAAAAGTTGTTCAATATGTGCTTCTTTTTCCTTGACTAAACGCTACATAAAAAAAATCAATAGTGCATAAAAATAATAGTGAAGTGATTATATTATATAAATAACATCAATATGAAAAATAAGAGAAACCTAAAAGGAAAAACTTTCAGTAATTTTCATAAACCGATAGAGGTCATTTGAAAAAGATTAGGAATGGTAGTGTTAAATGCAAATCATTTAGAAAATTCAAAATTATATCTAACACTTTACGTTCAACCACCACCACCTGTCTCTCTATAAGTGATATTAGCTGGTGTAGGAGTAAGATGAAAACAAACTAGTGGCAACCAAACCAATATATAGCATTAGTTTATGAAATCTTTGAATTTCAGTTCGAGGACAGTTGCAGTCCACATGATAACCGCGATCAGTGGTTGGAGGCTTCCGACGGCATGCCTCAGAATAGAACAAAGTGGTGAGACATATTCACTACTCATCTTGTTTCACATCGTGAATTTCAGTAATCCTCTATACATAACTTTTTGTTCTGTCTTTTTGAACTATATTCTGATTGTTTAGCCTTAATTATTACTGCTACTATATCATTTCGATTCCTTTGTTGTTTGTTTTTAAACATATCATAGTAGTAAGGTGGTATGGAGACTTAGATAAGTATATATGTGTCCAACTCTACTTAGATCATAAATGATTGACTCAGCTTTGAACCGCACCGTTTGTGTGACGAGCTAGTGATTCTATTTGGCATGTCAAACTAAAATAAACGGGGGAGAGATTTAAATCTAAAATCTAAGAGTGAATTTGATTGTTTACACCACAATATGATCACACTTTACAAAGTTTTGAACAACTTTCTTGTTATTACATTTCATTCAAGAGCAGTGCATACTCCAATTCAATACTCATAGATTCTAAAACTTAAACTATAGTTGCTGACCAGGTGAATCGATATTTCATTATCTAGTTTCGTTTCTATTGAAGGTATTTATTTTTCACAATTCAACATAAACTTTATAGATAGACAGATACAACGCAGAACTTCATACGTAAGTATACATCAGTTCAGGTTGCCATGCTCCATCAGCACAGAGACGCAACTGTCAGTTCAAATCCAAGAATGATAGCAATAGTAGAAGTATTAGCAGTACTGGAGAAGATTATGGAGCGAAGATATGATCCGAGAAGTATAATTCAGTGAGATAAATTTATAAGGAGAAAGGTAGAGATTATGAAGGAAATTCATAAACTTTATATTAAGTGACATCTAAACATTTGATTAGACAAACATCAGAACACAATAAAAGTCTATCACCTATCGACTCGGATTTCATCAATATACTTAGATTCTTTAGAAAGTGATTTATGCAATAAACCAGTTCAACTGAGACTTCTATGGATATTTTTTTTTTCACTTGTAGTTTTGAATATCATAATTATTATGGCATTTTTCTACTAATTATTGAATCGATCATAGTATACTTTATTGAAGAGTTTTTTGCTTTTGCTTTCGTCAAAGCAAAAGCAAATCAGAATTGAATTATTGTGCAGAATAAATTATCAACATCAAGTTTCAAATGCATCACATGTTTCACCGAATGAAGGAAACAAAACACAAGCAACATTTGTAAGTTACTTATTAATTAACTATTATTATTATTATTATTATTATTATTATTGGTAGTAGTAGTAGTAGTAGTAGTAGTAGTAGTAGTAGTAGCAGTAGTAGTAGTAGTAGTATTAGTATTATATGAATTGAAACAACTTCATTTTATATAATGAAAACAATTACCCACTACCTATTGATTTAGATTATGTTGTGTTGGTTGGTTTTTTTTTTTAATTTTTTGAATGCATACAAATTAAGCAGTTATGGATGAAATCATGTGAAAACCAGTATATTACAAAGAAAGAAAAAGAATATACAAACTATCACATAAAATACTTGAAAAAGTACCTAAGTAATAATAATAATAAAGGGGTTTTGTATGGCAAATAATAGACGCTATACTGGTGGTAAGGGCAAATGAATATTTCCATGGAGAAGCAACAGAGGGAAATTAACAATCGTGACAAATGAATATCAAGTTATAAGTTAATTTTTTTTAGATTATTTTCAACTGTTTAAAACAATAGAGTATTGGATTAACTGAAAAAGTAGAGGATTTGCATAATTCCTTCTTTCAAATCTTAATCTTCTGGATTCGTCAACACCTCTAGTTTTGACTTTCTAAACTTATCTGACTGAATCATACTTCTTGAATAATATCGTCTAATCCTAACCTCTCCGATTACTTCTAATACCTTTACTACCTCTACTACTCTATTGGATTTGAATTGACAATTACATCTCTGTGCTGATGTGGTATGGCAACCTGAACTGATGTACTTACGTACGAAGTTCTACGTTGCATCTGACTGACTGACTGACATCAACAAATAGGACTTGATTGTATTAACTTATTCTAAGCTAATAAGTGAATCTCCTAGTAAGTAGTGTTCAACGCTCACAATGTTAAAGGAGGAAATTTGTTTTGTAAAAGGACATTTATGATAAAATTGACTTTAAAAAGAATGAAGCTGTGAGTAACATTGACAAACATCACTGGAGGTTGAAAATTCTGAAAATAGTTCGTCATAAGCGCTCTAGCACAACTGTTACTGTGATTGAGTCGACAGTCATTACAAGGTATGTATACTTCTGTGCCTATGCGTTTGAATAACGAACACTCACAAGGATTCGAATAATTCTTATTGTACTGGTAACGTGATTTACAAAGCACAAATTTGTGCACTTGACTTCAATCTCATACTTTGTGAAAGAGATAGGTAATAATACCTAGCATGACTGAAACTTGTGACCTAGTACTTGAAAAGTTAGACGCCTCAAATGCTAACTCATCGTGTGTTCTCACAAATCTTAACCTTCTGAATTCTTCATAATCACTTTATCTTTCTAAAGTTATCACCTTTATCTTTTTCTTTTTTAGGTTATTTCACTAGATTCTACTTCTTGAATAATATCTCCTAACCTGAAATCTCTCCGATTACTGTTAATACTTTTACTACTTCTACTACTATAGGATTTGAAGTGACAATTACAGCTCTGTGCTAATGTGGTATGACAACTTGAACTGATGTACGTACATAACGAAATTCTACGTTACTGTTGATTGATTACTAACTCAACGTTGAAGATGACATACCAAATGGGTTGATCAGAAATCAAAAAGAAAATTCCAAGAATCATTCATACAACTGATTACTTTTAATGTAAGGCATTTGAATGTTCTAAAAAGAAAAAAAGACGACTTAGAAGCAGACAGGAAAGAGACTTACACAGATTTTATACTCCTAATTACATCACAGACAAATTTACACAATTATCAATCAGATTGCATGACGTTACCAGACTTTTATGCACATAATATTAGAAGCAAAACTTAACTCTTGCGCAAACAGAATGAAACTTAGCAATTAGAAAAGAAAAAATACAAAAACACAAACACAAACAAACAAAAGCATCATTTAGATTGGTCAGTCAGTCAGTTTCAACGTAGAACTTCGTACGTATGTACATAAGTTCAAGTTGCCATACCACTACATTAGCACAGAGACGCAAATGTCAAATCAAATCCCATAGTGATAAAGATAGTAGAAGTATTAATGGTAATGAAGAAGACTAGAGTTCGAAGATATGATTCAAAAAATATAATTCAGTGAGATAAGGTTAGAAAGACAAAGGTAGGAGTGCTGACGAATCCAGAAGATTAGAATTTGAGAGAGCTCAAAGAATGTATGCACTTGCGCCATTGCAAACGATTTTGAGCCATGTCGTTCAAGGTCTCTAACCATTGATGACTTTCGTCTAGCGGACCCTAACCAGGTAGTCTACATCTACCAACATGACTCAGTCCACTTGTCATTTAGATTGGTAATCAATTAATGATATAAATTAATTCGCCTTTCTTGATCATGTACACGTTTCTGCTGCCTACTGCTGCTGCTATTTACTTGTTTTTTCTTTTAATTTAAATTCACTTTAACATAACAAGTCATGTGATATGATACATTTCCATAATCGATATCTTTTCATGCATACATAACATACACGCATACCTATACATAGTATTTATCAACTGACATACTACTACTACTCCTCAATTATATATATATATATATATATATATATATATACCTAGTTTTATTGATACTTCTATTGATTAATCAGTAAAAAGTGGAATAGATCCAATCAAAAAGTAAAGAAAAAAATTAGAAGAAGAATTAACAAGTACCGATAATTTTACTAATGAACTAGATCATAAAAGCTATTTATTGGAAGATGAACAACACATAGCATTGTACTCTAATTAAACGAATAAATTGTACTTATTTTGGCATTGGATTAAATAAACAGACTAAATCAAAAACGAAAATGATTGGTGATTGTAAAAACTTGCAAAATGATAAAACTATTTTTATTTGTTCAATTGCGAATGAAATGCATTCTACTACTACTGTAGTGAACGAGAACACAGGTGGGGCAACCGAATTGTATTTAACGAAAATTACAGAGTTACTCAGTAAAATAGGAAAACCATATCGTAAATTGTTAATTTGCAAAATATCAGTTCATCATATCGAACTGGACTGTTCCTGTCGCAAAACATCAATCCATTGTCACTACTATTCATGCGTTTCATACAAATTCCATTGTTTTCTAACTCTTCCTTTCTTGATCTTTCCCCATCTTCTGCTGCCAGACATTACGTTGACACTCACGTCATATACTACTTATAAGTAGCTCACACCACACTACTACTACTACTAATACTACTACTATATTTTTTTTTAAAAACAATAATAGTCAAACAACTAACCTGTAATGATTGTAAATTAGATGTAGATTCTCTACGATTTGGAGTATTGATCGATGATGATATAGGTCGTCGATTACCGGCTACGTTATTACGACTCTACACATACACATGGTGAATAAAACAAATATATTATTATTCAAAGTAAATGATCATATCAATCATGATATATATATATGAGAGTTTTTCTATTCCAAATTATTCATATCATCAATTAAATTTAACAATAGAACAGAAGTAAACATAAAAGTTGTAGTAATTTCACTTGAAATCAAATTGCCGATAATTTTTCAATGATAGTTAATTTATGTTAATGGAACGACGCATTAGTTGAATGATACAAAACTTCATCATCATCATTCAGAATATTAAATTAAAAAACAGAAAAAAATTGTTGGGGACGTCAGATACCCAGAACTCGTTTGACAAATGCCTTAGTTTGGATTTCACATTTGCGAGCATGGGCGGATCAGCTAACCTTGAGATTTCATTTTCCCCCCCAGGAAAATACTTGGTTGTGATTAGCTGCCGTGTATTGTAGTGTGCTAATTTTGTGACTATCCCAAGGACATTTCTATGATGCATAAATAAACGAGTATTGTGTGCTTGATTGCATTGTGCTTGTTGGGTGTTTGTAGAATATACTTTCTACGCTATACCAAGACTTCTCTTTAGCCGTTTCGGATCAAGGTAGCCTACCTAGACTCTGGTTCATTGTTTTGTTAGCGTTTATCGACTAAGGTGAACCCCGTAATAGTTTCAAGTATACCTAGTGACGAACCTAACAAAAATATCTATTGATTTTATGTAGTATACAATCAAATAAATGTTAGAAAAAGTTATTTATTTCAGATCGCTTTCAACATCGATAAATGTCACAAAAAACATAGTACTTCAAATACCAACAATGTCTTCGATAGAAGATCACTACTTATGAAAATATGTGAAAACAATGAATCTTATTTTATCTAAGTAAACTATCTTTCTTGACTATAGAGTGCTGAAGATTGTTGTTTTTAATCAAAATCATGAATCGATCAATCATTGTTAGACCACCATTAGAAACCTGAAGGTACTGAAAGACTGCTGTTTTGTCTTAGTATGAGTCTCTTCAACAGTGCGCATTCACGATTCCCGCTACTCGCAGCAATCGAACCCAATAATAAAATATTCAGAATTAAAATGAATAAATAAATCGTCTCAAGTATGATTAACTTAGGTTTTACATCTTATAATACTGACTTTTATTACTTCACGTGGACTGAAAGTATATAAAGAAGTGAAAGACGGACGACTTGCCTGTAAGCCATTATTAACTTGATTTAAACGATAAGATCGAGATACTGAACTCAAATTGGATGAATAGGATAGCAAAGACTCTTGACTTCGACTATAAAAAAAATAAAATAAATAGGAGAAGAAATGAACTGCTTATGAATTCAATAAGACAAATTTTAAAAAAAAGGGTAAACTGTTGGAATTAGACTCTTGAAAATCTATGAGACTAGAACAAAAATCAACCCGAATTCTATGAAGGTATTGAGAATTAGTAATAAGTTTAGCGATTCACAACAAGATGTTAAAAAGTTCACATAGATTACAATCAACTGAAATATAGTGTTTATAGTGAAATTCCGTTTATTGTTCACATTGAAAGCTCTACAACCAAAACATCCTGCTCAGAGATTCTCTTTCTAAATTTATCTCACTGAACTATACTTCTTGAATAATATCTTCGATCCCTAATTTTCTTCATTACCAGTAATTCTTCTACTATCTCTGCGTAGGCGAGATATCCGTTTGCTGACTAAAGGACGAGTGTACTGCGCAGTGGTTCGCTGCGTCTTACTTTATGGCTGTGAAACATGGCCGATGAGAGTAGAAGATACTCGACGGTTATTAGTTTTCGATCATAGGTGTCTTCGAAGCATTGCTCGTATATCGAGGGACACCCGAGTGAGCAACGCTGTTATTAGGAAACGGGTACTAGGTAAGAATGACAGATCAATCGATGAAGTAATGAAACTTCATCAGTTGAGGTGGTTGGGACACGTGTTGCGTATGCCTAACCAGCGACTGCCTCGTCGAGCTTTGTTTTGTAGTGTAGGAGTAGGTTGGAAGAAAGCTAGGGGCGGCCAAACCAAAACATGGCACAAATGCATGAAGTCATTGACAAGTGGACTTAGCCATGTCGGTAATTGTCGACTACCTGGTTGGGGTCCGCGAGATGATAATAATCGATGGTTAGAGACCTTGAATGACATGGCTCAAAATCGTTCGCAATGGCGCCGGTGCATTTATTCTTTGTGTTCTCTCAAATCCTAATCTTCTGGGTTCTTCAACACCTCTAGCTTTTACCTTCTAAACTTATCTCATTGAATCATACTTCGTGAATAATATCTTCTAATTCTAACCTCTCCGATTACTTCTAATACTGTTGGGGATGTTAGATCCCCAAAATTCGCTTGATAATGCCGTATTTCGGTTTTCACGTTCGCCAGCAGGGGCTGATCAAATGACCTTGAGATTTCAATTCCCACCAGGAAAATCAATGGCTGTGATTGGCTACAGTGTATTTTAGTATGCTATTTTCTTAACTGTCTCAAGGACGTTGTTATGTTGTATAAATAAACGAGAGTTGTGTG